ATATATATACCACTTATAAATTACGATCAGATATTTTAAATTTTAAAATGTTGAAATGGGATATATTTGAATATAATAAATTATTACCTACTATATTATATTATATTTAATGTTATTATTTTACACATTTTGATTATGTGATATCAAAAAAGTTTTCTACTTTACTTGCATATTATTTTGGGTTTTTTTAATTTAAATTTTGGTGAACTGAAACTATAGGCTAATCATTAAAGCAATGCAATTATTGTATTTGAATCTTCATTCCGCTTTCGATATTCTTATATTCATTAATTATTGCTAAGAGTATTTAAAACTTGGTTCGTAGAACTGCTAATTTAGATGCATTTTTTTTATTACCTGTTATAATAAAATGCAATTTTGGTGTTTTTTTTTTGTTTTAGCCCATTTTAGTATTATTTTATGTATTGTATGCTATTGTTTTATATTTTAGTCAATGAAAACCTTTGTGCTTAAAATATTAAAATATTTTGTATTACCGATCTTGTTTATTTTCCAATTAATCTTTTTAATAATAATTAATCAATAATCGATGATAATTTTACTTTCACTTATTTTTACGTAACAATATAACTACCTAGTCAATATTGTTAAAATAATAACGTCCAAAACTAGGCACATACTTTCTATTAAGTACCTATATAAATATAGTATATTATATTATATATTAATTGTTTTTACTTTTTACATAAAAATATAAAATAGAGGTTGTTAAAAATAATCATTTATTTACGCATGTTTATAATTTTAATTTATTAAGTACCTATAAATTGATATGATCTTATAACTGTGATGTTGCTTAGTACAAAGTATCCTAAATTAAATTTCAACTAATATAATATAACCTAATTTAATTTTCCAATTTAGTTCGAAATTAATTTTATAAATATTCGATTATGGTTTCATGACAAAATAAATAAATAATTTTCTCGTATATCTTTGATATAGAGTAAGTATGATATGTGTCTATGCTTCATGTATCTATGATAAATTATCATTTGTCTTAATATTTAGTAAGTTTCAAAATTTCATTGGCCATTTTTGAATGTCATGTTATAGCATAAATCGGGTTTCAAAGGGTGTGCTTGTGAGTATATTGCGCAATCGCAGCCGTGAGTCACATGGCAACCGTTGGAACCCTCCAAAGAGGGTTTTGGATGACTAATCGTGAAGTCCCGTCCAGTACAGAGGAAGAATATATTTTTCTTTTTTTACTTAGGGGAGTATGTATTGCCAAATAAACTCATCTCGATGAAAGTACATTGATTATATCCACCGCTATCGAATTATAGAAAATAAACTGCCTTTGTTTTTATTTATTCTCTAGTTTACGACTAGAACTTAGATCTAGAATTTTATGACCGTCATCTTGTGGATTAAAATCCTGGGGAGCCCAAACGACGTTCTATAACAATAGTTTGCTAGGGGGAATGATTGTCTCTCGGGCGTAATACGAAGTGTCAGCGAGTTGTCGTGAATTGTGATTGAAGGTCTGACAAAAGTTTTTTGGCAATTCATTTATATTACTATGAATTTTAGTATACCGGATTTATATATTAAAATAACTTCTTTTATTATTCTAATATATACACTTTATTATTATGATTTATAATACATTGGGCTAAGGAGTTAGTACACATGTAGATGCCTATATTACGTTGCAGGTTGTTTTATGCTCATATTTTTAAATATAATTAACTAAAAGTTACAAATAAAAAAAATGTCCATATATTTTTTTTCAACCTATCGAATTATTACTATAATAACTATAATTAGATTAATATAAATAATTAATAACGTGATTGCTCTTGATAATTTTCCATAGTGGACCACTGTATTTTATATTTTAGTTTTTTTTATGTGAAAATATGGTGACTTATTAATATTTACCTACATTTAACTCATATTTTTTAAATGTTTTAGCAAAATGTATAAATATACTTCTTAACTTCTAAAGAATTTTTTATCATTTAAAAATGTTTTACATTGCTGTTGGCTGGTTTACAGTGTTTTTTGTGTAATAGTACCTATATGTATATTACATGTTATATACTTATATATATTAATGTGTTATGTACTATACAATAATTAGCTGACATATAAATATTGTACTGTCATTTAAGACTATCTTAAAAGAGTATCTTGATGGTCTTGTATATTATGTATGGAATTATTTTTTACCGAGTGCTTAATATTAAATAACATATTATATTATAATTGTACAATTCTAAATACGTTTTTAATTTTTTTTATACATTAAGATAATAAATCTGATTAAAAAAATTACAAATAAATTTAAAAAATAAATTGTTAAGAGTAATATAATTATATATTATAATCTGACAATCTGTAGTCGGATTTATTATAATATAGTATTATGATAATATTCTGAATAGTGAATATACCTAGTTGATTAATATTTATATTTTTATACAAACATTTTTAAAGTAGGTAAGAGCATATTTATGAGAATTAATCTTAGATTTTAATCTAAAATTCAAATAAATAATATAATAATCTTAAGTATAACAATGTGATCGAATATCGATATTGAGAATGTATGTCTTACAAAAACCACTATTGCGCGTGGGCTACTGCGACGTCACGATTTTTTTTTTCGTTTTGCAGTCGGACGTATATGGTTCTTGTTAGTTCTGTGGTACGAATGGTACAGTGGCCAAGGACGAAGTTAACTTTGTCTGGACTATAGAACCGGGTTCAAGCTCGTATATTGAATATAACGTGACGTGTATAATTTTTCATTATATATTGCCTAGCACGAATGAAATCGTACAGTTTTCTTTAATTTAGATTTCGTGGAACTATATTTTCTGTGTATGTTGCATGGAAACCGGGGAAATGCTTACTTTTATATTCCTGAAATAGTTTTGTATGTAGATTACATTTTAGATTAGATTGGTATCAAATAGTATTTTTAAAATCATATTTTAGAATAATTCATACAGCATTGTTATTTATCATGATGTTATTAAAAAACTAGAGACTCACTTTGACGTTTCTTCATTGCTTTAGACTTATCCATAAAGTGTGAGTTTTAAATTTTTATAATATAAATGTCATTTCATTGTCAACGATTTAACCCGGTTAATATTATCCGCGTTTTAATGTAGAACGGATGAGGTCGTTAAAAATAAATACGTAGCACGTGAGATTCTTCATAAACCATAAGCAATGTCTTCTATATAGTTCCATGAATTGATTTGCGACTATATATGTATATCTGTTGCGTATTTATGCCGCTTCTGTATTTAGCTTTTATTATTATTCATCTTACTTATACACATATTGTATACTATACGTTTCAACGATGACTTGTCTGTTATATGCGTTCCTTCGGTTCACACGACGGCCTCCTTCGTTAGAAATTATCTTTGACAGGATCCGAGATGAAAGTCGTTCGGGTACGACTTGTGTGCGTCGGATCGGATCGGAATTTCAACTCGTTTTTACCTGCAGTGTGTCCGTTTTTAAAAATGGTCTTGTGTGCTGACAGTGTCGGAGCTACTTCTGTTTTCTGCTGGTGGTGCATGCTGTTGCGAGTCACGTACTGCTGTACAAGACTTGTCTAAAAATGTGTGTTCACGGTGTTTTTTTTTCATTAAGTGTATACGAATACCTACTTAGGTCGGAATTCTTATACTTGTCGCACATGACAAAAATAATTGTTTTCAACAATCCATTTTTAATTCGGTTTTTGTATCATCTGATGGAAATAATATCAATTCAATTTTAATTTATTAAGGTGAATGTTATGTTTGTTTTTTGACAGCTGGTTTGTCAGTTGTATAATATTTGTATCGTAATTTGTCCAAACAAAAGATAATGCTATCGGTTTGTGTCTGTACAAATCCAATTTTACTCTATACCGCCACACCACACCATCGCACTTGCATGGTATGTAATTTTGTTTATGTAGGTACAATTGGAACGCCTGCGACCTCGGAAATATAATGAACCAAAATTAACTGCCTTATCACCTTATTTAACGTAATATACATGTAGGTATGCTGCCCAAATCGCCGAGGTTGGCATGACGTCGAAGTATAATGATCATTTCTAATGGACTTTAAATCTTTGTAGATATCATCACTATTATATTATTTTCTAAAGGTGCTCGTTAATATCGACAGTGAGTTATACATTAATAATGTATAATGTCTATAGCTTGACTTTAAACAACTTGACATTTTCTTCGGTGAACACAGGTGGATAATAAATATTTTTTGAATAGGTATAATATTATGACTTTGAGGCCAAAATAACATTTTAAAATTAAAAAAGGAATAGGTATGTACTTTTCAAAGTCTCTAAATAATAATTTAGTTTTTAACATGCCACACAACTTTAACTACAATCGAGTTAACTTATTGTGAACACATTAACTGAAATATTTTTAAGAATTGTTTATTATATTATGTCTTATTTATACTTACTATGTATATTGATGAAATTATTCACCATTAATCTAAGTAGGCACAGTTAGTTTTATAAAACCCATTACTCGCAATTTTAATTTTTCAAGCTACTAAGAGATACCTAGTACTATATATTTTATATACTCAATACATATAATATAATATAATATATTTATATGTTATACATATTATGCGCTATAAATTATAGTATAGGTAGGTATTATTCAAATGTTGATACTATCTAAAGATTTTATCATCAATTATTGGAAACCTTGTATAAAAATACTCGTAGAAATTATTAGGTGGGTAAATTAAGTTTTTATTATTGATTTAGATTTTATCGAAAGATTATATTTTTCCTATGGAATCAAGTGTGGGATTTGTGATTTTTTTATAAACCAGTTCGTGCAAATGTAAAATGTATATCAACTTGTATTATGGTGCCTACTTCTTCAATATTCCTAATGTCTCAAAGGGAAAATACATTTTATAGTTTATTCTGTAGACTTTTCCACTACAATACTTTTTATTCTCCTTTTGTGTTAACTACAGTGTAGTTTGTTTGATCTTAACTGATTCGTTCCACTTGTCGGGCCTGAGTGCATGGTCGGTGCCGACGACAACACTGCCGCACTGGGCGACCGGAATCGCGGGCGATTGAAATTGTAGGCGGCCGGACAACAACCGTGTACAGGTGCATCGATGCGTGTAGTTTGCTAGTTTGTTGGACAATGATTTTTTTATCCTTCCGATTTTTGGCTGGCTATTCGAAGGCATATTAAACTAAAAAGAACTAACTTAGTGTGAATAGTTTTAAAAATAATTATTATTTTTACCTATTTGGATACATAATATTATATCGTGTGCAATATCACACACACACATCGTGCAATTTATTCTTACATTCGTTAAAATCAAAAAATCATTACAATAATAATTATAGTAATTTTATATTGATAGAAAAATACTTATTTTATTTCAATCTAACGAATTGATTTTTCTAGTACCTATATGTAATTATATGTAATTGTTATACGTTTATCGAACAAATTAATTTGAATATTATAAAACCTTGTTGTGTATGCACGTATTCTAAATTGTAAAATGTACAGATTGGCGGAAATATTATGGAATTAATATCTTATAATCTTACGAGTTTTCAGTTAAGTAAATTAATTCTATCTTCATATAGTTCAGCTAATTTATTAAAAAGTTAATAACTGGACTGTAATGGTCATCGAATGTATATGATGCAGTTAATGTTACAGCCATTCACTATAGTTAACCATTCGCCGGTAATATGATAGGTTAACGATGTAAACGGTGCACTAGTAAGTCGCGGGTGAACGGCGTTTCCGCACACCGGACATTGGACTTAAACGATTTTGACAACACTGTAACTTGATGATAATGGATGTAATTTCTTACTTGAAACTCACTGTACTGAACATTCTGCATCTAGTTCAGTCTCAGACGAGGGATATCTTAAAAGTTACATGTCTATATATGTTTCGTAAGTAAATTAAACAGTTGAGACTTTGTTGTTTTACTATGTTTACGGGTAACCCGAATTGTAAAAATAAAGTATAGAAATGAACAAATATTTAGCTAATTAAGCAAACATGAATTTATTTTAAAATAAAAAGGATGAAATAATGTATTTGTAAACTCTTTTAATTGAGTGTAATGTATAGGTACTATGTAGTACTAACTGTATTAAAATGTATCAAACACACTTTACACTCACAGACGTGCAGTACAGTTACATAAATATATATACTACATATGATATTATTGATATTATTATATAATATATACTATAGTCTTTAGTATACCTACTATGAATAAAGGAAAATGTATTATTTCAATTATTAAAAAAATTCCATTATGTTCACTGACTTTATATAATCCACTATTTTTTAAAACACGAAATTCATAAAAATGTATAAAATTCCTTTTCACCATGGTTCACAATAGGCACTTTTTAATGGATGAACGTAAAATAATAGCCACATTGATATATGGAAGACCGGAAGTTTTAAAGTATTATTGTCATGAAGTTGACGTTTTGATAACTAACTGATGCCATAATATAGTGTTATGTGTTTTGCGAATTCATAGTGTGACAAATTGTAGTACTTTTTTAACGATTTTTTTTTTAATATGTAATTTTTGTGATGGCCAACTATACCAGACGATTGTAAATATTCTTACCATATGTTATGCGTCATTATATAGTATATAGACTACCTAGCAAATAGTCGTAAATTATAATTTAGCCTTTGAATATGTGTACAATGTACATAGTAAATATTTTTACAACTGAAAGTGTATATAGTTTTTTTTTTATTAACATGCCACATAGACATTTCTATTTTTCATCAATTTTAAAATGTATAATATATAGGATCCTTTAAAATTATTTAGCCGAAATAAATATATCATATATTAACATAATATCTAACATAGTATGTATATAAAAGATACAATTGTAAATTCATATGAAAATCTAAAAGTGCTTCTCATTTTCCGCCTTCTAATTTTTAATCTTGTCCAACTTATAATTAAATTGAAACATTTCGTAGTTGACTTTAAACAACGAACTAAAAATTAAGAAAGGTATCGTCTAAAAACTCATAATAAAAACGGGGTTATCGTTGAAAACAGAACTCAAAATCCATAGAAAAAGATGAATATGAATAGCTTTTTTATTTTCATAATTCTATACTTGTTTTATTTTTATTTATTAAATGATATTAATTTTAAGTTATGAATTATGATAATCTAATTAAATTATTAAAACTAATTTATTCTAGTACAAAAACAATTTGAAATATTTTAAGAACACAAAATAAAATTTGTTTAGATTTGGATTTGTATTTATATTATAATTTTAAATGCAAATAGGTAGGTAATACTATTGTTTCCTCATAATTGTATTTGTATTATGTTCTATACCTATTACCAGGGCTCGGAAGTTGTGGCACTAAAAATGGGAATTTTTAGCTCCTTAATAAGCACTAAAAAACTCTAAAATATGCGCTATAAATAGCACGAAAAATCAAAAAATATGCATTTAACTTGAAAAAATTATAATTATAAATTTATTACAAAAAAAAAATTAAATGTTATTATTTTATTAATTATTATTCATTACAAAAAAAAATTAAACGTTATTATTTATTAATAATTAGTAATTACATTTTCCAATTTCTATACTGTTATATAATTATAAAAAATATAACCAAATTAAATTTAAAAATATAACCAAATGAAATCATTATTTTCAACTAAATGTGGTTATTTTCCAAATTATCTTATAATATACCCAAAAATAGCACTAAAAAACCTTAAAATGGCAAAATAGCAAAAAATCATAAATATGCAAAGAATGGCAAATAAATTTCGTGTATGACATCAGATAAGTGTGAAACATATTTGTATCTTACTTTGGGTGTTCTAGGACAAACCAAAAAAAATATGCATTTGCCACAACTTCCGAGCCCTGCCTATTACCTACCACACGTAACGAACAATTGTCCAAGTTAACTGTAGGTCTGACTGGAGGTATATTAAATATAAAAACTAACTAACTATATACATAATACATATACATTGCAAAAAGCAGTTTTGCAATTATTTTATGTTGTGTGAGAAACATAAATAGCAATAATAATATAATAATGTTTTATATTTAACAATTATTCTGCTACATTATAATTTTTTCATTAGTTTAATTTACTTAGTTAAATTATTTTTTAATAAGCATGTTAGATTTACCCCTCTCAGTTTATACAGTTCAATCATATAATATGGTCTGCAATTATTTAATTTTAATTAATAAATTGGTCATTGGTTTTATTATGGAAGTTTTATCAGTACATCGATGAAAATTAAAAATGGTTTATATAAGTACAATTGTTTGTTTAGTCTAAAATAAAATATTTACTTTAATCTTTAAACGAATAATCTAATTTTAATTTAAAGTTATAAAAGATATCAAAAGATTATATTTTTGTTGACACAAATTACCAATTTTAAAGTAATTTGATTGTTGATTATATAATCATGATGTGTTGAATTAAAATTAGTGAAGGTCTTAAAAATGTATTTGTATGTATTTGTATTGGTAGACTCTAGTCACTATTATTTTAATTTAGAGTGTTAAAATGTTTTTCTTAATTGATTATGACATATTATTTTTATATGATCTATCATTTAGTTATGGAAATCATGCAAAATATAAAATATATAATGTGCTTTAAATCCCATTATTTTGTCTGACATTTTTCTGTAATATCTATTTCTATGACCATTGTATCTAATAATTGTATAATATATTACCTGGTTATTAAAATATTAGGCTACCGAACTAGTCTAGAATATACCGACTCCCAGTCAATAGTGCATTGTTAAAAAAAAAAAATTATTTTCATTAAGCAAACAATAATAATATAAATTATTTAAAAAAAAGTATATACAATACTTATTATATATTCAGTGATAATAACCATAAAATATTTTATTATTGATATAGCTACATTAATTTATTTTACTTTTATGCTTGATAACTAAAGTTATGATTTTTATGATATAGTAAACTAATATAATAGTTTATATTGTATAATATATGCTAATGATAAGAGGTGACGACCTAATTTAAAGGGTTTTAGTATTGTAATGTATGAAGTGATCGAAGTAGTAATTTAAAACTATTAGCTAACATTAGCCACTATTATAATTATATTATTATGGCCTTGTCTAGGTAATTAAATGTGTAATAAAAATCAACAACACATAAATAATATTTAATACGATAAAATGGTTGGTAGGTATTGTATGGTATTCTTTTAGCATACACTTTTAGGTACCTATTTACGTTAATGTAAAACTAAGTAAAACACATTATAAATTATTATTTATTAATTAATGAACCGTTGGTGGTCGAATGCTCTGGATGTGACGGTTGACCGGCGATTTGTCTTGTAGAAAACAGTATGAAAGTCATTAGGTGATGACAGTTAAAGATGAATCCATTTGTCATGTTATTTGATAACAAAGAAATAAAAAATTTCCGTTATTATTTTAATATTTATTTTATATTAATTACTGTACAGATGTTGGACAAAGCGTTGTACAAAATATTATGTATAAATATAAATCGATCTCTGCCAAGTCCAATATAATTGTTTGTGTGATTGATCATCGTATATTCGTACGGTTGTCGTTGTTGTCGCGTTGCATACTAATCAAGGTCTTACTCCTACTCCCAGACCTACTCCTAAAGTATTTTATTTTCATATAATATGCTATTACTTATCGTTATACTGCGACGCTAAAACAATTTAAGAATTTTCGTAAAAGACGGTGGATTGCGAAAATATATCATAATCAGAGAATGAAAAAAATTTTTAAAAATGCGTATGCGAGTTGTTTGCATTAATATCTTATAATATACGTGTTGATTAGTTTTAATTATACCAACATAAATATATTTATGTGTGTGCGGTGTGTAGTATGTACTGAGTTCATTGTGTAGGTATACCTACTATAGTTGTATTCCCTGACTCGGCCTGGTTGTGAACTAGCTGGCTCTTATAAAAATGTGGCAAAAACCAAACGGATGGTGCTTGGATGTATTATGTATTTACATTTCACCGGTCGGTTTTCCAGGATCCATAGTTAAGGCAGTATTCTGCAGCCTACCTCCTATTCATTGATAAATTATATGCAAATATTCAATACACAAAAAATCACTTGTATCTATCTATTCGAGT